CGAAACTTGCTGCACACCCCTCTGAAGTTTCTCTTTCACAGTGAGCATGTGACCAGGTGTTGGAGCCTGCTAGGTTTCCTAGTGGCTGTACCCAGCAGGACTGCATGAGAGGTTGATTGGACCACGGGCCTGGGTGCCAGGTGACTGTAACTAGCCAGGGGGAGGTCTTTTGCTCCACCCCTTGGCATTGTTATAAATAGACCTTTGGAATAAAGTTCTGGGCCGGTGGATAAGGGTCCAGGCCCACCTGAGTCTGTCCTCTGTTTTCTCTTCCCTCTCTATTTCTAACTAAGTCTCTTATCCCTCATTCCTCAAGAGTCCATGGGGTAAATAAGCGTGGGGGCTGGTCTCCTACAAATAGGGAAGAAAAATCCAAGTTTTTCTGGAAAAATCCAGTCTTTGCTGCGCCACATTTGTTTCCTTTTGTTTTTGTTTTGTTTGTTTCTGCAGGAGAGCTCAGATTGCAGATCCTCCTGAGAAGCTTGGTTCTGGGAACACTATAATTATGCTAATTGAGTCAAGTGATCTTACAAATATAAAGTGCTTAGAATAGCTCCGTGGACATTAGATGTTCTCATTGCAGATTAATTACATTATAGCCCCCTCCCAATTCCCTGCTGAGATCTTTAAAGTCACATGTATTTTTCTTTTCTTTTAAAAAAAGATTTATTTATTATATATACAGTGTTCTGCTTGCATGTCTGCCTCCACGCCAGAAGAGGGCACCAGATCTCATTACAGATGGTTGCGAGCCACCCTGTGGAATTGAACTCAGGATCTCTGGAAGAGCAGCCAGTGCTCTTAACCTCTGAGCCATCTCTCCAGCTCCCACATGTATTTCTTAATTCAGAGGTATTTTTTTTTTCTTTTTCAAAAGAAACAGAAATAAGGTAAATATATCATATCATCTATAATATCGACAATTGAAATCAATGGAAATGCAAAAGTAAGATGATTTTTATTGTTTTTAGTTGTTTTGCTTTTGAGACAGGAGCTCACCATGTAGCCCAGGTTGGCCCTGAACTCCCGTTCCTTCTATCTTGGCCTAAGTTCATTTTTATTACATTGCTTTACTTATTTAATGCGTGTGGAGGGCTCACATATCATAATGTGTGTGGCGGTAAGAGGACGATCTTTGGGAGTCTGTCATCTCCTTTCTTTTTTTTTTTTTTTTTTTTTTTTTTTGGTGGATGGAGAGACAGCCGTGGGTGCTGGGAACTGAACTCTTATATTTTTGGTTGTGAGCCTAGCCTTTAACGGCTGAGCCATCTTTCCAGCCCCTGCCATCTCCTTTCATCGTGCATGTCCTGGGGATTGAACTTGGGTCCTCAGGCTTTGAGACAAGCCATCCTGCCAGGCCGGATGGCTGTTGTTGGCCACACTCAATAAGCAGTAGCTCCGCTGACTCTCATTCTGATTTCCTCCCTTCTGTGATGTCAGCAGCTACAGAAAAGCTGGCTCTCCAAAACACAACATGGAGAAATAAACTATTTCCAGATCGCCACGCTCTGCTTTGCAAGTTCCCCAGACTATCAGAATTGAGCGCTGGGAAAGGCCTCTCGAGATCAGTGTGTCACATTTCCTCAGTTTAGAGATGAGAAAAAGTATAATAGAGGTGACTTTTAAAAAAAAAAAATCATCCAGCTAGGCAGCGTCAGCACTGGGGCTCTTCATTTCTAGTTGAGCTGGTGAGGAAGAACGTGTCGAAAGCCTTCGATAGAGCTCATTAGAGAGGTAGTCTGCATTAAAGTGCAGCGTGCAGACTACTTTGAATTTCCAGGGAGTTTAGTCAACGTGTGAAAGCATCTGGTTTCTCAGAAGGCTGATGTCAAGATGCTGATATTTACCTTAAAACAATATCATTGTCTTTTTTTTAAAAAGTACTTTATCAATTTTTTTTTTCTGAATAATTTCATGGAAAGGAAAAAAAAATGGTTTACTGTTTGATGAGGGAAATCAAGTGAAAATGGGGGAATGTCCAAACCAACTTGAGGAGAAGGAAGAGAAAGCGCTGGAGCCCCCAGGTGGGTGGGGCAGAAAAGTGGGTGCTGGAGGTAGTGAGGGGTACCAGCAGCCAGGAATCCTCAAAAAGGCCTTGAAAGTCAGAGGAGAAAGGCTGGATTCTTCAGTAAATACACGAGCGTCTACATGGCCAACTCTTAGAGGCATTTGGGTAGATGTTGTCCAGACTTTGAAAATGAGCATATTAATGCTTTAAAAAAAAAAAAAAGCCAAATGATGCGGTAAGGGACCAGCAGAACTGAGATTCAAATCTGTGTCTGTGAACCTCAAATCCAATAGTCTTTCCACCAGCACAGGATCAGCGAGGGAATATGGTGAGTCACCAAAGACAAGCTCGGTTCCCTCGGAATCTCAGTTCCAGGCCAAGGGAGACAGAAGCTAAATGCTGCTCAAATCTCCTCTGCCTGCACATATCCATACCCACATCCACATACGTGGCTTTTCAATTTCTGCCTGTCAGCTGGTGAGGAGGTCTATTTCTCTACCTCTTAAACATGGCCGGCCTGGTGACTTTACTCTAGAGGCAGCAGAAATGATGGCCGCTCCGGAGAAAGCTGAGTGACAAGAGCCCTCACATGCGCCTTGGATCCCTGCCTTCCCCATGAGGCAATGTCTGAGCTAGCCAACCGGGAGATGAGATGCCACCTAGGGCTCCTTTTCGTCAGCTGTGGACTTCCAAAACCAGCCATCGCTTCAGCAGCCCGCCAGCTAATGGGAAACATGTGAGCAAGCCCAGAGCACAGCTGGACCAACAGACCTTCCCAGGACAACCGGGAGTCGCTTTAAAAGCCATTGCATGTCGGGGCGGTGTGGCTTCCAGTGACTGCTGGTGGATACAAGGGGAAATCTTGCTTTTAGAGCCCAGGATGAGGATTAGGCTACGGGAACAATGTATAAAGTGCACCCAAGCATCATAGGACTATACAGTTCTCCCTGGGTACCTGCAGAAACGGGTTCCAGGCCCCTGCAGACCTCCGAATCTATAGATGCTCAAGAGCCTTCCATATGCCTTACCTTACATCATCTTTGGCTTACCTCCCAACACCCAAATGCAATGGAAATTGTACATGAATACACATTATTTAATATCGCAAAATAACAAGAAAACCATCAGTCCATGATCATACAGATTGCAGTTTTCCCCAGCAATCATCTATTTTTTTTTTTACCCCCTTCCCCCACCCCATCTCCCCCCTCCCTTCCTTTTTTGAAACAAGCTCTCCAAAGCCCCAGACTGTCCCGGAACTCACTGCAAGCCCAGGTGACCTCGAACTAGCACGGATCCTCCTGCCTCAACAACCCGAGTGCTGGGATTCCAGGGGCAAACCACCTCAACTGGCTTCAGATATTTCTCAGCTGAGGTCGGTCAGATCCACAGAGATGAATGCATGTATACGGAAGAACAATAAATATGCAATATGGGAAATGCCTGCTGGCTCTCTCTGGCTCCCATGGCTTTCCCTTATAACAACACGGCTCCTGCTTCTGACGAAATAAATACCCTACAGTGAAACACAAAACTTCACTCTTCTCACTCCCGTCCACACCCTCATCAAGTTAATATCCAATCCCAGCTCTTGGGAGGTAGAGGCAGGAAGATCTCAGTGAGTTTGAGGCCAGCCTGGTCTACAAAGTGAGTTCTAGGACATTTAGGACTGTTACACAGAGAAACCCTGTCTCAAAAGAAAAAAAGAATCCAATAGATAGATAGGATAAATTAAGCCACAGGATGCCAAATCACGAGTGTGGCCAAAGAGCCCCCATTGTTCATGTTCCTGCTTTCTAAGAGTCATGGGTCACATGGGCTGGCAGAACAGTGCGTTGTCCTCACATCTTTGGAAACCCTCGAAAGAAAAAAAAAAAAAAAAAAAAAAAAAAAACAGGAGGAAAATGCTGTCCTAGACCTGCACTAGATAAATGGTTAGGATTTGAGAGGTAAGATCAGGACAAGCCCTGATGGGTCAAAATACGATGTCTCTGGCGTCTGTCTTCACAAACTCACTTCCTTCCTGAGAGTGGTCCTGGGGTCACAGCTCCCCCACCCGCTTTGGGCAGTATCAGTTCCAGACAGCAGCTCATCTCCAGATGCTGCTTAGCTTGGGGTTTGATGGGGAATGGGGGGTTGGGGGGGTCAGGTTTCCAGAAAGGCAGGCAAAGTCATTTATGTGCTACGTGAGGGTGGAAATTCCATATGGTTTCTGACTTACACAAAGTAAAATAATATTTTCAAAAAAACTCGATCTTCTCTCTCCAGCCTGTTTTAAGTATAAACCTCTCCTGTGGTTACTCGCTGAAGGGAAGTATTTTAAAAGGTCTCCTTTGGAAAGAGAAAACGTTATTCAAGTTAGAGGTTTGAGCTGCGTCAGCAAGTAGGAGCCGGGGCCGCCTGCCAGCGGGCTGTGGGTCCTGAACAATTCCTCGGTGGCTGCCTGCCTGCCTTCAGACCTGACTCAGAAGTGAGATGGAAGAGGATTTGACAGTTTCATTTTCTATGCGGAGAATTTTGAAAACGTTTAACTAGGTTATAATAGCCTCGTTTCTTACAAGCCAGGAATTAAGCCAATTATCGCCCACCCCCACCCCCACCCCCACCCTTTAACTGCAAGGCAGAGTTGCTCTATGGTGAAAAGCGAGGATTTGGGATTCCAGTTTTCATCTGCAAGTCACTTTAGCTTTCTCCTCTGTGGAATGCAGATGATGTTAGAGGGTTTTAGGAGGGCGTGTCGGGTTGGTACTAATAGCTAATACTGAGCTGGGCACCGCACTAAACATGGACTATCCTTCCTTATGTCAGAACCATCGTGCTTTGCAGTCCATTGTGTGATGTTGTCTGGGATGGCCTCATATCCCCTACCTTCACGAAGGGTGATGGAGCAGGAGGTTAAGACCACGGTCTTCCATTACAACACCAGCAATTCATTTACCCTCCCGGAGCCTCCGCAAACCAGTTAGAATGTGGGGGTTGATGATCACACTGAGGTTTGGTCGGGACCGAGTGACTCATGACTGAGCGTTCGGTACAGTGACTAGACCCTGTAACGATCGTCCAATCACAACAGTACACCAGCCAGTGAGGCAGGGGTGTTCTCCCTGGCCCTCCTTCTTGTCCCTGCGTCCCTGCCCCCATCCTTCCTCTTCCCAGAATGGTCCTTCATCTACAGCAGCGGCATGCCCAGGGCACCACATCCTCCCACAATGCGTCTGGACTGGATCCTGCTTCCCAGGCCCCACCGTTCTTCCCCTTGACCGAGGAGAGACACTTCCGTGTTTTCAATACCACGTTTTCTTGACTGACTCCGTCCTCCAAAGGTAGCATTCATTTGTTCCCCTTGCCATGTTCTCACACATGCTTCCAACTTCTGAAAACCGAGTGGTGGGGATTAAAGTCAAGGTCCGTGCTGCCCACTGATCCATGGGAGGATGCCCAGAGAAAAAATATTTCCATATTCCTGCGTATTGCACAGAGCGGGAGTGAGTCTCAGATCCACTTTCCATGGAAAGCGGTTTTTGACACTAGGAAACCGCATTTGAAGTTTTCCAATCAACTCCAGTAATGGCAGTGTCTCTGCGGCTCTGGGACACTTTATAGGGAGAAGTACTTGAAGCTGCAGTCCACCATACTTATTTTGGAGATGGGTGGATCAGTCACAACCAGGAACAACCTCAGAGAGACATATTTCCCTCTCCCCAAGGCCGCTGCTGCCCGAAGACTACCGATTTCTGAATTCTGTTTTTTTTGCTCATTTCTTGAGTTTCAACATTTGTGTTGAGAACCACAGTGGGCAAGAGAGTTAAATACTTTACCTTCTTGCATTTTGTCTTCTCCTTATGCATGTCCTACCTGTGTGTCACCTTCCAAAGGTAAGAGACCCCACCCTGTGAGGCCACACTCATGGCTAACGCTGTCTGAACATCTCTGCCGTGTTTTGTATTAGTGTCTCTCATAATGGACTTCGTAACGCAATTATGAGTGCTGGGTACTCACTCAGGCAAACTTGCTCTTATTCCATGTTTTTAAGTACCAAGCAAAACCCTTTGGCTCCCTTTGGGTCTAATCAACGTGGTTATAATCTGACTTCCAAGTTTATGAAAATCTTCTGTAACATTAAATTGCACCCCAGTGCGCTATTTTTTACTTGACTTAAATTGGCACTGCTTGGATAGAACAGCGTGACAGTTACAGTATTTCCTGCTGTAAGTCTACGACTCATTTTATTGTAAAATATTACAGACCACATTGGGTTCACAGTGACGCTCAGCCAGTGCTTTAACTCCAATGTACCCGGCACACCCAAACTGCGTCCTCCTTGTTTTAACATTTTCCACTCTCTGATATAGAAGGAAATGTGGGAGGGATTCAAACCACTGCTTATAATCCTGGGACATGGTAGTGACTTAAATTTTCTTCCGAATTGCAATTAAACCCAAGTTTTACCGGGATCTCTATTGAAGTTCAAAGAAATTTAAGTAGCACCCTTTTTAAAAAATTATTATTATTATTATTATTATTATTATTATTAGCAGCAATTTCTCAGTGCTGTAGGCTCTGGTAAAATATATCTGGAAGGTGAATGCAACCTGCAGCCTGCTTTTGAAAACAAAAACCGTGGAACCCCCCCCCCCATCCCCTGCCGTGTGTGTGTGTGTGTGTGTGTGTGTGTGTGTGTGTGTGTGTGTGTGTATCTTCTGGGACTTTCTTCACATGACCGCAGTGAAGCTAATACATAAGGAAGGAATTTTTAAATTAAAGTGGGAACACAGATCAGTAAGGCAGTGTATTTGTTCATAGTGTTCACATATTTGATGGTACCAATTAGAGAGAGATTTTCACTATGGCTGACTCTAGAAGAAGATAGGGAGCATTTCTCCCTCTGCTGTGGGTGTCCTTGTCCTCCACAGCTCCATCACTCCTTCCTGGGCGCTTTCTCTTGTCATTCATCACACACACACAAACACACCCCCCCTTGTTCAGTCCTGCCTCAGACGCTTATGACTTTTCTTCCTGAAAGGCTCATTTGTATTTTCCCACGCCCCTCCAGGAAAGATGGATGCTACACACTCAAGGTAGCCTGCTTTCTTTACATATTTCTTTCCTGTGTGTCTATGCTTGTGAAACTGGGCATGGAAAGATGGTGGTATTGGCTTAGAATCACACTCTGAACCTGTTATCTAGGTATGTGATCTAGGTATCTAGGTATGTACCTGGTATCTAGGTAAGTTTTCATCTCTCTGAGCCCAGATAGTCTTACCTCCAAAACAGAAAGCAACCCATGATAACATTAGGCCCGATACACCCTGGCATCAAATGTAATTTTGCTGTAAATGTCAAAACATGAGCCTGTAAGGCACAGTCATCCCAGCTGTCACTCTGCGACTTCCAGTGTGTCTAGAAGTCATCACATAGTCATGGCTTTACTATTAGGACCTATGGAGCTGACCTCTAAAAATAGCTTCACATTCAGAAGTGTGTGGTGTGGTTGAAATGTCTCCATTAGGTTCATAAACATTCTTAGGATTCTAGAGATGACTCACCATGCTATTTTTAAGAAGGAGAAGATAGACTAAAGGACTCTGGCTTAGATACAAGGAGCTGTTTATAATCCAAATGAGAATGTGTTACCCTAGGCGAGGCAGTGTAGCCAGGGTTCAAAAGGTCCAAATGAGAGAGAGAGAGAGAACGGTAAGCACCCTCTCTCTGCTCTTCCTCACTCTGTCTTCCTCTTTTCCTCCTCGGCTTCCTGTCCCCATTCCCTCCAAGCTTAAGATTCACTTTTCTTTGCTTCTGCAGAAACTTACTGGTTGCCAGAATACGGACTCTGCATGACCACTCAGATGAACCACGCCCCAGCACCGTGTCTCAAAGGGTGATCTACCCAGTATCTTCTGGAAGTACTTGTTGAAAATGGACAGAATCCCAACACGTGAAACTGGATTCTCCAATTATGAAAAATTATTTCATGATCCTTAACCTTGTAAAGTTTAACAGACCACATAATACATAATTAGAATTTATACTCCAATTCTAATGATGAGAAAGGGAAAGAATGTCTGGGGGCGGGGGGCCTAGGGGCGAGGTTAGAGACTCTGGTTGTCCTAGCTAAACATATGCTACTCACCAGGGCCAAGAGGAGATAGTCACAGAGTATACGGAACCACAGGGATCATGTCTAGAATAGAACACCATGCTTAGGAAGATGAATAACCTTTGCCAACGTTATAACTACTATGACGTATCAGGGAAGCTAGAGAATGCATCCCGGGATAGTGCTATAAGAAAGACTCACATTTCCAGGACCTTATGTCAGCAGCAACATCCTAGAAACACAGGAAGATGAACACTACCGTCTTCATCTTTAACCTCTCCCTGGTACATCAACTGGCGGAACTGACCTCACAGGGAGTCTGGGAGATCTGCAGTTAGAGCATTTCAACCTCTCCAGCTGGAAAGAGAGTAGAGTGGAAGTGGACCGATTGAATTTTTAGTATCTCTTACACAATATTTTAAATAGCCAATATTTTATTAATTCTTTGAGAATTTCATATATGTATACAGCGCATTTTGATTGTATTTATCCCCGTCCTCCACCTAATTCCTCTCAGGTCCACTCTTCAGGTCCCCCCATCAACTTCATTCCCTTTCTCTCCTCTACTTGCCTTTTCTCTCTCTCCCTCCCTCCCTCCTTCCCCCTCTCCCTTCTGGCTCTCCCTCCCTCTGTCTCTTTTACTAACCCACTGAGTCTAGTGTGTGCTACACACATACTCAGGGGTGTGGAGTCATCATCATCCATCTACCTGAGCATGGCCAACCTAACAAGGGCTACACCCTTAAAGAAAACAGATTCTTGCCCCTACCCCCCTTAGTTGGGGAGGGGGCTCATGAGCCCGGCTCCATGTTGGAATGTTGATTGGCTCGGTCTTGGGTAGGTATTGCATAACCCCAGCTGCTGTGAGTTCATGAATGTATCGGTTCTGCCACCTCCAGAAAAAACCCTGGTCCTCCCTGGTCTCTGGTTCTTATGGACTTTCCACCCTGTCTTCCCCAGTGTTTCCTGAGCCTTAGGGGTAGGGGAACACACAGAACTCTTTCTCCATTATTTCCATGTTTATAACACAATCCAGAAGACACAATCCAACTATTATCCAGAATCTGTCTGACCCCAAATACCCAAGCACAACTGGTTCAATCTAGTCCCAGATAATACAACCTAAGCAAGCCTCACTCCTGACCCCAGCTTCTTATGAAGTCTATGTGCACTTACATCCCCATGGTCATGAAGTCTATGTGGACTTACTTCCCCATGGTCATGAAGTCTATATGGACTTACATCCCTATGGTCATGAAGTCTATGTGGACTTACATCCCTATGGTCATGAAGTCTATGTGGACTTATGTCCCTATGGTCATGAACTCTATTTAGACTTATGTCCCCATGGTCAACTTGATGCTGGACTTTCACTTCCATATCTACTGTTAGATTTCATTCTGATGAGAACTTCAACTTTAACCTAGTTTCCACACATCCCATTAATAAAACTCCAATAGGATGACAGACGTGTGAGGATAGCAATAACTCACTGTAAACAGCATTTCACAATAGGCATGTTATTCTCAAAAGAGCCTCTGATCACTCTGCTCCTATGAATTCTAATTTCCTGTTTTCTAGTGTCTACCATACTCTGTCCTGGGAGGGAGTAGGGGACCTTTCTTATCTTAGCCGGGATGATTTCATTTTCATTAAATGTATTGTATTTGTATTTCATTAAAGGAATTGTTTTTCTGGCAGAACAAGGGGCAGGAAGACAGCCCAGAGCTAGTACATATCTTCCGTCAGGACTCTGGTCCCAGTGTCCCCCCCACCCCCCACCCCCCACCCCCGTGATATTCTACATATATTTTCACGGCCCTGAGACAGCTGGTCTGCTTGCAAGCCTAAGTCATATCCTAAGTGGTCCTACGGCTGAAAGTCGGTTAAGTGCTGACTCTGGCAACCACCAAATCTCCTTGAAGTACTCAAAATTAAATTATACACAGAATCTCAGAGATGAAAACAGATGTGATACTCAAATACCAGGCAGCTCCCTCAGCATATACAAACTGATATTCCAATACCTAGATTCAAAAACGTACATCTAGGAAGTCTCGGTGAATGTTGCAATGCCTCAGATCTCTCTAGGTTTTGTGTCAGTTCCTGTGGTTCATCTTGGACAGTAGAAACCGAGGCTCAGAAATGCTAAACCACGTGCAAAGGGCCGCATGGATCCGAACCCTATGAGTCTAATCCCCAACTTCATGTTGAGCCTCCAGGACCAGAGACTTCTTGTTTTTCTTTAAAATCTAAGCTCCTGGCTAGGCATGGTGGTTCACACCTTTAGTCCCAGCACTCGGAAGGCAGAGCCAGGCGGATCTCTGTGAGTTCGAGGCCAGCCTGTGCAACAGAGTGAGTTCCAGGGAAGGTGCAAAGCTACACAGAGAAACTGTGTCTCAAAAAACAACAACAAAAAAAAATTAAATGGAGAAACACTGTCTCAAAAAACCAACTAATCAATCAATCCATCCATCCATCCATCCATCCATCCATCCATCCATCCATCCATCCATCCATCAATCAATCAAAGTTCTTGAACCAGAGCACCTCCAGATAATGCTTTGTGCTTTGGTTTTCAAGGCATTCTGAGGAAGAGGGGGTACCCTTCATGAATTTCCTAATTTTTTGTAGTTCTGGGGTAGTGAAAAGGTTGTCACATCAGCCTGAAAAATATATTCACAATGTTTCATTATGAGCCAGGCTGAGGCTCCATTTTTAGACTTGCTTTTTATAGCTGAGACGTGGTGCCACAATATAACCATTGGGTCCATTCCAAACTGAATGTAAAAAAACAATTAACTCAAGGAAAGTTCATTAAGAAAAGAGCTTCCGTGTTTGTTTGTGTGACCAAGTAGCCTTCTACAGAGCTTCAAGGAGCAGCACCCCACAGTATTCACGGGGTAGTGTTTCCTCTGGACACAGTAGTGTTTCTTTTAACGTTCTCACTGAAGTATTTCATTGTTGGTATTTCTCCTTCCCACCCTTGCCAACTTCCCCGTTTTATTTGCGATGAGACCTCCGGTCCCCTCACTCCGGACGGACGGACGCTCCTCGGAAACACATTCAAACTAAACATTACCACACCTGGCCATTTCGAGTTTGGGTTTCCGCATTGAACTATAAAGTTGAAAGATTATTCCCAGTAAAGGACATTGGTGTTGGCGAGCAAGGCGGAAAGAATAGGCAGAGAGGCCCTGAACGCAAGAATCGGGCCTCTTCTGTTAAACTCTGACGGTGGAAAACCGATTTGGTCCTTGTAAGGATTTGTGGAGGAGAATGACAGGAAATGTCACTCTCTTGTGGTGATACTGTGTCCCTCAATATATTGTGCACCCTAATAAACTTATCTGGAGTCAGAGAACAGAAAAGTCACTAGACAGACACAGAGGCCAGAAAATGGTGGCACACACATCTTTAATCCTAGCATTCAGGAGGCAGAGATCCATCTGGATCTCTGTGAGTACAAAGCCACACTGGAAACAGCCAGGCATGGCAACACACGCCTCTAATCCCAGGAAGTGATGGCATGAGGACCAGGAACTAGAAGCTTTTAAGCTTTTAGCAGCAGTTCAGCTGAGATCCATTCAGATGAGGACACAGAGGCTTCCAGTCTGAGGAAACAAGATCAGCTGAGGAATTGTTGAGGCGAGGTTAGCTGTGGTGGCTGGTTCTACTTCTCTGATCTTTCGGTGTTCACCCCAATACCTGGTTCTGGGTTTGTTTTCATTAATAAGACCTGTTAAGATTCACGTTACATTGTCTGCTTTCTACTTTTCCACGTGACACAGCCCCAGGACATCGCCCAGCTCCCTCATTCATCTCTGCAGGCCGTGGCCCTTTATCTGCAGTATCAGGGGAGATCTGAGATCTCTTCCTGGGACCCCAGTCTGTGTCAGCAACACCGACATAGATGAGAGGTGACGCCTAGGCCATCAGTCCTGTGCCAGGCGCCTGCCCAGTGTCGCGCAGACATGGGGCACACTTCAGCTCCCCAAAGGACAGGTCCCATGCGAATGGCTTGGGGTGCCAATGCCTGGGCTGTGGCCGTTTCAGCCTAGAGGAATGTGTGCGCCCTATCTTTTCCAAGTACCGAGAGGCAACTGTCATCTCAGTTTTACTGATGAAGATATAAAGTTAAGACGGCTGTCCACAGTCCTCTGGGAACTATGCAGCAGGGGCTGGCGCATAACCTTTTCCTTAGCCTCTGACTAGTCCTGTACTGCATTATCAAGGACACCTAGCGTTGCAGATTCCTTGAATATGCATTCCTCGCCCCCATTCTGATGGTCAAATCGTAGCGTGTGTGTACATGAGCATTTCTGTCTGACTGTGTTCACATCTAGGCCCTGCCACTTGAAGCAGGGCAGCCCTGGTTCTCCTGTCTACACATAGGGAGAACGGGGCCACCTTTGCAGGGCCATTGTGAGGTTTAGATGAATTATTATGTGGAATTGCTTAGAGCAGACGCAAGGCTTATCGCAAAAAGCAGGGTGTGGCGTGTTTAACCTGAGACCAGCTAAACCGCCAAGACTTGCATCTGGAAGGCTTTTGCAGGTGGCTATGTTGATCAGCCTGAGCTTCTGGCTGAGAAGGTGTGAATGAAAGCAAAGTAGGCCTCGGCCTTCTTCACCTTCTCCTCCCATCCTTTCCTGCTTGTAGCTTACGTGGGTGAGAACGAGGCCTTGGGTAACCCCGAAGGCCGTGTGCTGAAGATGATAACCACCAACCTGTCATTCGGAAAGAGGGGTGTGCCACAGCGAGGGGAGAACTTAAGATTTGAGCCATTGTACATTTGGGGTTCATTCAGTATAGGAAGATAGGAAATTCCAATTAATATACAATGCTAATCTTTAGATCATGCCTGTGACAAAGATAACATTTATTTTTACTCTTTTTTTTTTTTTTTGGTTATTTTGAGACAGGGTT